CTTTGCCTTCTAGTGTGAAGATTACAAGCATATACTACCTTACCCAGCTTTGTTATACTTCTTTTATATGAAAATCACTGATTAGTAAACCTATTTTCACAGGATTTCAAGGGGATGGGAAGCAAACACTAGTGCCTGTAAAAAGAAAGGACAATTAGATATATTTTTGTTTTATAAATACTTTACATCTACACTAAAAGTTATTTTCTTGTTTTTTTTTTTTTTTTTTTTTGTCGGTCGTGGGGCTTGAACTCTGGGCCTGGGCGTTGTCCCTCAGCTCTTCAACTCAAGGCTAGCGCTCTACCACTTGAGCTACAGCGCCACTTCCAAAAGTTATTTTCTTAAGTGATCAGAGACTGTGGGCTTTACCTCAATGCAGTAGCATGCATGTAGACTAGCAATTGATGGTTCTCAGTATAAGCACAGTACTCTTGATAACATGATTTTCCAAATAGTAAAAAACTTTATGAACAAATAATGCACAACTCCTCTTTTTGTTGAATCCTTACCTGGTTTTGGGATGAGTGTGATACTGGCTTCATAGAATGAGTTTGCAATTGCTCCCTCTGTTTCTATTTCATGGAAAAGCTTCCGGAGTATTGGTGCTAGTTCATCTTTAAAAGTCTTACAGAATTCAGCAGTGAATTCATCCGGGCTTGAGCTTTCCCTTTTTGGAAGACTTCTGATTACTTCCTCTATCTTGTTGCCTGTTACTGGCTTGTTTAGCTGGGTTTTAATTTTCTTGGTTCAGTTTAAGCAGTGTGTATGTTTCTAAAAATTTGTCCATTTCTGCTAGGTTAACCTTTAGTGAGTATAGGTTTTGAAAGTCCTTTATAGTCATTTAGATTTCTTAGATGCTTGTTGTAATGTTTCCTATGGCATCTCTGATTTTATTGATTTGAATTTCTTCTCTTCTTTTTTTAGTTAATCTCACAAGTGCGCTGTCAATTTTAGTAGTTTTTTAGTTCCTATTTTGCTGAATTCTGTCCTTATCTTTGTTATCTCTCTGTTTAATAGCTTTAGATTTTTTTTTTTCCTTGCTTTTCTGGCAGTTTTAATTGCATCATAAGGTTATTTACTTGAGCTGTTTTGTTTAAGTTTTCTTTTGTCAGTCTTGGGGTTTGAACTCTGGGCCTCGGTGCTGTCCTTGAGCTCTTTAGCTCAAGGCCAGTGCTCTACTACTTGAGCCACAGTGCCACTTCCGGTTTTCTGGTGGTTAATTGCAGATAAGAGTCTCAGGGTTGTTAGGCGAAATGAACCCCAAGATAAGGATTCAAATGTTTTTTTCTTTTTTGCGATTGTTTCCAACATATTAATAAGATGATTTCTTTGTTGCTTTGTATGTACCCCCCCCCCCCCCCCACGGTATAACCCCTGCTGTCACTGTATTTGATGTTGGTATAATTTGTGGAGGGGAAGGGAAAGAACAAACTGTTTAAATAGGGTTACAGGTAGACCCATTACAACAATGAGCTGTACAAGACGCACTAGTCTTGAGCAAAAACAAGGCTAGGGGTATAACCCAGGCCCTGAGTTTAAGCCCCAGGACCATCACCCACACAAAAAAAATGTTGTTGTTTTTTTTTAGTCAGTAGTAGGGCTTGAACTCTGGGCTTGGGCGTTGTCCCTGTGCTCTTCAGCTCAAGGCTGTCACTCTACCCCTTGAACAGCGCCACTTCCAGTTTTCTGGTGGTTAAGATGAGAGTCTCATGGACTTTCCTGGCCAGGCTTTGAACCGTGATCCTCAGATCTCAGCCTCCTGAATAGCTAGGATTACAGGTGTGAGCCAACGGCACCTGGCCTGTTTGTTTTTAAAAATGATTTGTCCATGGGGCTGGAAAGGTAGTTCAGTGGTAGAGTATTTGCCTTGAATGCATGAGGCCCTGGGTTCAATTCCTCAGCACCACATAAGCAAAAAAAGCCAGAGGTGGCACTGTAGCTCAAGTGGTAGTGCACTAGCCTTGAGCTGAAGAGCTGAAGGACAGTGCCCAGGCTCAGAGTTCAGGCCCCACGACTGAAAAAAGCAAACAAAAATAAATTATCCAGCCAGGTGCAGGTGGCTCATGCCTATAATCCTCAGGAGACTGAGATCTGAGGATCATGGTTCAAAACCAGCCTGGGCAAAACCAGCCTGGGCAGGAAAGTCTGCGAGACTCTTATCTCCAATAAACCACTCAGAAAACTGGAAGTGGCTCTATGGCTCAAGTGGTAGACTGCTCACCTTGAACTGAAGAGCTGAGGATAGTGCTGTGGCCCAGAGTTCAAGCCCCAGGACTGACAAATAAATAAATTATCCAATCTTGTGTTTGAATGTGAGGCATTTTCATTTAATTGATAGTCCTTGATTTTGTATTATATACCTGTTTCCTTTTTATTTGTGCAATTGCTTGATGTTATAGCCATTGTTATCAGTTAAAAATACTTGTTTTTAGTGTATATTGTCATCTTTGTGTGGTTGTTCTATTTGCATTGATAGTTTCATTCCCATAGGTTGGTCTTTTTATTTACTTTTTGTTGTTGTTTATTAGGTTAGAAACTTCTCTTTTTATTAAGACATGTTAATGATACATAGTAACAGTTGAATGTGTTATTTCACTCCATGAATACAACATGCATTAATCAAATGCAACCTCCCTTTTTTTTATCCTCCCCCAAGTCTTCCCAATCCCTTGTAAATAGTGTTCTACTTTCATTCCACTGTTTTTTAGCTTCCACATGAGGACACGCATCACTTCTGTCTCTGTGTCTGGCTTATTTCACTTAATACTTACTTCCACTTGCATCCATCACATAGTGACCTTAGTCTTGCCATTTTTGTCTTGACGTCGGTTTTGTCAGATAAAAGTATAGCTACATCTCCTTGCATTGTTTTGTTTTGAATAAACTAGCATTTTTCATTCTTTCACTTTCACTCTGTGTCTTTACTGGTAAAGTAGGTTTCTTGTAGGCAGGATATTGTTTTGCTTCAGTTTTATCAGACTGAGATATTTCAAAAGATCTTTTCAAGTTCAAATATTCTTTGTTCCATTTGATCTCATCTGTTTTGGGGTGTTTTGAGTTTGATTCTTTTTCAGAATCTCTTTTTACTTTTGTAGCCTATATTCCTAATTATCTGCATTTTCCTGGATTTCTTGTGTTCTTTTATAATCATTCATTTATTTTAGCTAGTACCAGGGTTTGGGCTCAGGATTTTATACTTGCTCAATTTGCTTGTTCAACTAGCACTCTTATCACTTGAGCCATATCTCTACCCTGGCTAATTCAAGATGGAGCCTCAAGGACTTTTCTGCCTAAATTGTCTCCAAATCACAATCCTCTGGATCTCAGCCTTCTGAACAACTGGGATTATAGTGTTGAGACACCTATACAGTTTCTTTTAAATTCTTTAAAAAAAATTATTGTTATTCTAAAGGTTACAGTTACATAAGCCAGATAACAAATACATTTCTTTTTTGAACAATGTCACTCCTTCCCTTTTAAAATTCCTAAGTGTTTCGTTCCTTTTAAATTGATTAGAATATGTTGCTAAAGAGTTCTTCGGAGGCAATCTCTTGAAGGTTTTTTTCCCCCTATATTTCTTGTGTTCCCACATTGAGATTTGCACTCTAATATTAAGATATCTCAGCCAGTTTTATCACTAGCCTTCTTAGTAAAGAGCTTTCTCTATAAGCTACGTCTTGGAGTACCAGTATGTTACACAATGTTGGTTTTGATCTAGCTAGGCACCATAGTGTAACATCCATATGGAGTCGTTGGCTGTGATTAATGATGAGGCATAGTATATACTGTGTCACTGTCTCTGTAGGACACACAGAAGTGGAGACACTGGCAGTTCAGGTAGGCATGGTATTAACAACAGTGGTATGGGATGCTTTCTGTGCAGTAGGTCCTTTGCCTCAACTCATCTTCACTTTAAGGGGCCTTGGAATACTCAGCCTTCCCTCCCTCACCCAAAAAAAAAACCCGGTTTTTGAGGCTTGAAGGACAACACATTGGTATTTGGGTTTTTGCAGATTTTAAAGAGATTGTTAGAGATCTCATTATTAAAATGGAAATGAAAAATGGAAATATCAGTTGTGGGCCTTGAACTCAGGGCGTGAGTGCAATTCCTGATCTTTTTCACTCAAGGCTAGTACTCTACCACTTGAACCACAGTGCCACTTCAGTTTTTTGAGTGGTTAATTGGAGATAAGATTCTTATTGGGATCCTTCCAAGCTGGCTTCGAACCATAATCCTTCAAACCATAATCTCAGCATCCTGAATAGCTAGGATTACAGAAGTGAGCAAGTGGCATCTGGCTGGGTTTTTTGTTTTTGTTGTTGGTTTTGTTTTTTAAGAAAAACTGAATTTTGTTTTTTTTTAACTTTTTAAATATTTTATTGTAAAGATGCTGTACAAAGTTGTTTTTTTTTTTTGGGTCCGGTCATGGGGCCTGAACTCTGGGCCTGGGCGCTGTCCCTCAGCTCTTCAGCTCAAAGCTAGCGCTCTTCCACTTGAGCCACAGCACCACTTCTGGCTTTTTTTTTTTTTTTTTTTTTTGCTTATGTGGTGCTGGGGAATCGAACTCAGGGCCTCAGGCATGCAAGGCAAGCGCTCTACCACTGAGCCACCTTCCCAGCCCTACAAAGTTGTTTTTTGTTTGTTTGTTTTGGTGCTATTTCTGGGTCTTGAACACAGGTCTGGTATTGTCCCAGAGCTTCTTTTGTTCAAGGTTAATGCTCTACCACTTGTGTTACATCTTCACTTCCAGTTTTTTTGTTAGGATTTTTTGTTTGTTTATTTGTTGTTGTTGTTGTTTTTCAAATAAAACATTAGTTTATTTCTGGCCATAGATACACCTTGGGTTCATGAGACATTCAAATCTCAACTGTAACTAAGAATGATGGAACATGAAATGAATGCTTTACAAACCCTAATACAGTATGGTGAAACAAACAAAATAGCTTAGGAAACAGGTTAACTTGGTGGCTATGATACTACCTTTACAAAAAACAGCAATATGTGTGTCCAATGCATGAACCAGGCACAGCCATAGATCAAAACCCATGCTGGGATAAACATGGAATTGTTTTGCCCCTGGCTGATAGAAGATGAGCACCATGAAGGTTGATGTCACTTTGCCCAGAACAGGAACATTTTTGGTAGTTTAATGGAGATAAACAAGCTCATAGACTTTTCTGCCTGGGCTGTCTTGGAACTATGATCCTTCTGTCTCAGCCTCCTGAGTAGCTAGAATTACAGGTATGAGCCACTGGTACCCAGCAAATTTTGATTTTTTAAATCATGTTTTTCTTTTTCATCAGTCATGGAATTTGAACTCAGGAATTAGACACTGTTCCTGAACTCTTTTGCTCAAGGCTAGCACCCTGTCACTTTGAGCCACAGCTCCACTTCTGGTTTTTGAATGGTTAATTGGAGATAATAGTCTCATAAGGACTTTTCTGCCCAGGCTGGCTTTGAAACATGATCCTCAGATCTCAGCCTCCTGAGTAGCTAGAATTACAGGTGGAAGCCACCATCACCCAGCCTACACCATGTCTTTGGTTAGTACATGGTTTGTATGTGGTATACCACTTACCCCACTGGATGACAGTAAATTCAATAATTTTTGCTAGTTTTACCGACTGGTTCTAGAACTACTCACTACTCTTTCATTGCTGCTGTATATTTAGCTACCTCTGGTCTCCTTTAGTAGACAATTGAGGAATTGTTAAGTGTTTGAGTTGTGTCACAGCTAAACAATGGGCCTGTTAGAAGAGTACAGTGTGTTTTGGGCACACTTTTTGTTTCGCCTACTTGTTTTTGTCACTGAAAAGTAGCAAAAAGTGTTTGAACAGATTTGGAGACAGGCTCTATGTATTTGCTCTTTTTTCCATGAAATATTTTTGAATAATGGAACAAATGATAAGCTCTCTTCTTAAGTATCTTATTATGAATTGTTTTGTATATGTTTCTGACTATATTAGATATATGTGAAGAACCTTATTAGAGAGCCCCATTTGGCTCTTCAGGGCCATTTATATTGTTAGAAACAGCTCAGAAAAAAATCTGCTCTATAGAAGAGGCAGAAGACTAAGGTTATCTAAATTACCTGCAAGGGTAAAACTGAAATCTTTCTGGAGATATTTTTAATATAGGACAGCTTATATGTTTGCTTAATAAAATGTTATTTAATGCATTAACTAATAAAGAACAATTTTAGCTTGGCATTGGTGGCTTACGCCTGTAATTCTAGCTGCTCAGGACACTTGGATCTCAGGACCATAGTTCAAAGCCAGCTGGGCAGGAAAATCCATGACCCTTATCTCTAATGAACCACCAGAAAATCAGAAGTGGAATTGTGGCTCAAAGTGGTAGAGTGCTAGTTAAGCAGAAAAGCTTAGGGACAGTGCCCAGGCCCTGAGTTCAAGCCCCCTAGGACTGACAAAAACAAAACAGGATTTTCTTTGAGGACAGGAATCAGTCAATGTTACTAACAACACACAGTTGTTTGAAATAATGTACAGTTGTAATTCAGTGCCAAAGAATGGTCTAGCATACTGATAGTAATAGAGAAAAGAGCATGAGATTAAGACTTGTTTGGAAACTTCACTTCTGGGCTTAGTAGTTAGATCTGTGTACAGACTTTAAGCAAATCACTTACTTTTTGGTGGGGCTAGTTCTTTTACATACCAGAGGAATTCTAATCTTTTAAATTTTGTACTACTGGACTTATTTTGGACTTATTTTCCTGTGTAAGTTCAGAAGATGTAAGGGATCATTTTGGGCAAGAATGATTGTATACGTTGAAAATCATTTGACGTATTTTATTTGGGAGTTGAAAGATTTGGTTGAGTAGATAAACAAATGGAAAACAATTAGAAATGGATACACATACACATGCATACACATGTGATTCAGGCCAGGAAAGTCTTTGGTGTACATGAACATAGGATTTGTTTGGCTATTTGCGTGATATCAGATTGACTCAGTAGCTAAATGTCCCTAAATGCAATTCATACTCAGCTTTTAGGTATTAGACAGGTACTGAGGGAGATGAAGCCAGGGAGAGTGATAACATAAGTTGTTTTTAAGTCAACTTTTTCTGTGATAACTAAAGTATAGTCAACCAATTCCAATTTCTTTTTTCTTTTCTTTTCTATTTATTTATTTATTTTTTTGTCAGTCATGAGGCCTGAACTCTGGGCCTGGGCACTGTCCCTCAGCTCTTCAGCTCAAGGCTAGCACCCTACCACTTGAACTGCAGTGCCACTTCTGGCTTTTTCTGCTTATGTGGTGTTGAGGAATTGAACCCAGGGCCTCATGAATGCAAGGCAAGCACTCTACCACTTAGTCATCTTCCCAGCTCCTCCAGTTTCTTTTTCTAACAATATATGAAATACATAGAAACTTGTGACTAAGCTCTTGGCATCTACATTCATTCCAAGGTTCAGAGCCAGCCCAGGGAGAAAAGTCTGTAAGGTTCTTAATCTCCAATAAACTGTCAAAAATTCAGAAGTAGAGCTTCTTTTATAAGCTTCTGTATGAATATATTTTCTAATTCTAGTGTGTGTGTGCTTGAGAATAAAAATTGTAGGTCATTTTGGTAGCTGTATATTTAGCTTTTGAAGAAGATACTGTTTCCTGTGGGTAGGTGGGAAGTTCTGGGACTTGAACTCAGGACCTTGTTGCTGTCTCTAAGCTTTTTTTGTTCAAGACTAGCATTCTACCACTTACCACAGTTTCACTTCCTGGCTTTTTAGTGGTTAATCGGAAATAGGAGTCTCACGGCCTTTTCTGCCCTGGCTGGCTTTGAACTATGATCCTCAGATTGTATCCTTGTAAGTAATTAGGAATAGAGACATGAGCCACTGATGTCTGGCTCTTAATTCATTATTTTTAATGCACTTTATTTGGGGGTCATTTTAGGCTTACAAACCACAAATATAGTAAATAGAGTTTTCTTTCTCCTTGTCAGCCAGTTTTTCTGATAGTATCATAATTTATAACCCTGATATTTATATATAAACAGAGAAACTGCCAATCTAGGGTGCCACATTGCATTTAGTCATATTAAATCTATAACTCTCGGTCTTCCTGATTTTCATGTTTTTGTCAGTTTTGAGGTGTGAATTAGAAATTGTAGAGTGTATTACTTCTCAGCTTTTTGGCTATGATCAAGTGTAGAGTTCCCCTTGTTTTTTGTTTGTCTGATAATTAAGTTTGGATTGTAGAATTGTGAGGAGAATGCCACAGGTGTTTCTCATCACATTGTGTTAGGGAGTAACTGATATTAACTTACTCCCCTAAAAAGTTAACTGTGGTCACTTGGTTAATGCTGTATTTGCCATGAAGTTTTTTGTTTTTTTCCTTCCTTTTCATCTTTTGGAAATGAGTCACTTAAGTCCAGCCTACATTCCAGAGGGGAGAGGAAATCAAGCTCAAATTCCTAGAGGGAGCTGTGTCTACATATAACAATCTGGAATTCTGGAGTAAAGATTTGTTTCCTTACCGTCCCCATTTATTTATTTGTTTACTTGTATTTGTACAGAATTACATGTATTTTGTCATTTGATTATACTGTTAATTTTTTCATTTGAATCATTCTAACATTGGTCTTTGGAAACACTTTCTGTGTCTCTTTAACATGCCCTTATCCATTTAAAGTATTGCCTTATCTTCTGATGCTGCAAGATACTCTATTACTCACTTTCTCTCCCCTGTGTGGGGCCTATAACCAGCCATTTCTCCAAGAATCCATGAGGCACATTTAAGTTATTTGCCTCAGGTCACACATTTAAGTGATAGAACTAAGATTCCAACCAAAGCAGTCCCATTCCAGAACACATACTGCTACCATAAAATTAGATTTTTTTTTCAGTTAAAGGTGTAACTGGGAGTTTCTAGTCATATTCTGTCTATAATTGAACCCTAAAGATATGTTTTGTATGAACTTCCATTGAGTAATCATTATGCTCTGACTTTAGCTTTGATTGTTTTGCTCTTTTTTTTTTGAATTTTTCATTAGTTTATTTTTAGGGTTGGCATCAAACCCAGGTCCTCACACATAATAAGCACATTTTTTTTACCAGTAAGGTATACACCTGGTCCTCCCTGATTTATGCTGATTTTTTAGAATCACGCTTCTGAAAATAGTAAATTAAAACCTAGTTAAGCCCCACAGATAGTTGTTATTCTATAAATGTATATAAAAATACTCAAATTTTGTTAGAGATTCTGTTTTGTGACAGGATCATACTGTGTGCCTCAGGAATGGCTTTAAAATCCTCCTGCCGGGCTGGGAAGGTGGCTCAGTGGTAGAGCGCTTGTCTTGCATGCATGAGGCCCTGGGTTCGATTCCTCAGCACCACATAATCAGGAAAAAAAAAAAGCTGGAAGTGGCACTGTGGCTCAAGTGGTAGAGCACTAGCCTTGAGCTGAAGAGCTGAGGGACAGCGCCCAGGCCTAGAGTTCAGGCCCCACGACCAGACCAAAAAAACAAACAAACAAAAAAAATAAAATCCTCCTGCCTTGTAGTACTGAAACTACAGACATGTGCCACCATACCCTGGCTGTTATCTGATTCTTAATTTACTATAGAGCCTCAATGGAGGAACTAAAATCTGAACATTGTAACTGGTGATTAAGAAAGTGAACACAGGAGACTGAGATCAGAGGATGTCAGTTCAAAACTAGTCCAAGCAGAAAAGTACATAGAACTCTGACTCCAGTTAACCAGCAAAATGTCCAACTAGAAGGTGGGGCAGAGCACCAGCTGTGAGCAAGAAAGCTGAGTGGGCATGAAGCCCTGAGTTCAAGCCATATTAGGCCTCACCCCACCCACCTAAAAAAAAGAAAAGAGGAAAAGATAAAAGTGAGATGCTCTTGGATTAATCTGTGTTCTTTAATGTTATGATCATACTAAACATCCATCCTGTCCATTTTATTAAATAATCTTTGCAAGTTGAAGTTAAGTTTTATCTATCTTCTGTCCCTGTGGGTTATTCACACACTAGTATCAGGTCACACCTAGGAATAACCAGTTGCATCCTGTTTGTATGACCCCAAAACAAAACCAGACTTACCTGATAAAAGCAGCTGGTTTTGAAGTCATTTGGAGCATGTCTTGGGTGCTGCCTTTGGTTTCAGCCTTTTTTATTTCTATTTTTATTTTTGCTTCGGTAGTTTTAGCCACATGCAGGTCAAGGCCTTTTTTATTACTTTTTCCTAGGTCTTCTCCAGGTAATTACCCTCACCACCAGAAATGTGGGGTTTTTGTTTGTTTCTCTCCTTTTTTTCTCTCACTCTTCCTCTTTGGTGGGCTGAGAAATAATTATTTTGACAGATAAAGTATGCCAAAGTAGTGCACTAGCACAGTCCTTTGCCAAGGAAAATAACATCTTAAAGATTTGGAGTAGAAGAGTAATCTCTTCAGCTCTCCATTCTTCTCAAATTTATCTTTTTCTTCAGGTACTAGCATTTAATTGAATTAAATAAATTTATTTTTAATTTTCCCTAAGTACTGTTGGGCTTTCTTTTTATTGTACATAAACAAAGATTTGCTAACTTAAAACAATATTATTCAAGATTCAGTTGCCAATTAAAATATTGTTTAATGGGGGTGATATGTTGCTTCCTAACATATACATTTTTTATAGAACTTATCTGAGTTAGGAGTCCTTTACTACTGATTTAAGTGTGTATGAGCTACTTATTAAAAAGAAATATGTCAGTATATAAAAAAGGCTACAGTTTCCACTGGATGACCTAACTGCATGGGCAGGGTATTACGATGTGAAAGAATAATCTTGGGGTTACAGCCATACTACCAGCCCAGCCCATCATTCATACATACATTCCTTATATTTTTCCTTACTTAATTTTGTCAGTGTATACAGATTGATGAAGCTTGATATGACTTTCTGAGGGATTTAAGAAACTGAGGCAGATTTTTAAAGAAACCAAATACTATGTCAGTGGTTTGTTCTTTTTGAAACGTTTACTTGATGGCTAAGTTGTAATCCATCACAAGGCTTGTTGGTTGGTAGCTTTGAAGTCCAAACATCCAAGATGGGTCTTCCAGAGATACCTCATGGTTGGTTGATTAGGTCATATTCTTCCTCTTTGGAATTTTCTCCCTCTTTTTCTTCTCTTTTTTTGTTACCCTCTCCTCTCTCTTTTCTGGTATGACGATTTGAAGGTGCTCTACTACTTAAACCATCACTCTTTTCTTGACTCCATGTTGTCTGACTTTTGGAACAGTCTCAGATTGATTGATTAAATTGCTTTGTTTTTCAGACATTCCATATCTAATTATTTATTGAATGTTAGAGCTGAGATTATTTCCATTTAAAAAAGATGTTTGTTACATCTTTTTCTTTTTCTTTTTTTGGCCGGTCGTGGGCCTGAACTCTGGGCCTGGGCACTGTCCCTCAGCTCTTCAGCTTAAGGCTAGCACTCTACCATGGAGCCACTTCTGTTTTTTTCTGCTTCTTTTTTTTTTTTTTTTTTGTCGGTCATGGGGTTTGACCTCTGGGCTTGGGCACTGTCTCTCAGCTCTTCAGCTCAAGGCGAACTCAGCTCTACGGCTTGAGCTACAGCGCCACTTCCGGTTTTCTGGTGGTTTATTGGAGATAGGACTCTCATGGTCTTTCCTACCTGGGCTGGCTTTGAACTGAGATCCTCAGATTTCAGCCTCTTGAGTAGCTAAGATTACAGGCGTGAGCCACCAGCACCAGCACAGGCTGTTTTTTTCTGCTTATGTAGTGCTGATGAATCAAACCCAGGGCCTCATGCAGGCAAGGCGAATACTCTATCACTGAGCCACCTTCCCAGCCACTTGTTATATCTTTTATCAGTTTTTTTATTGCCCAATTTTTCTATTGTAACTGTAAGTAGATACCTTTTACCTTTTCTAATTAGGAGTTGTATGGCAAGGTAGTTATTGCTGTATTCTGCTTGTTCATATTATTTTTTTGCCTTGTTATTAATTATGACTTTAAAAAATCTATTTCAGGCCTTTTCATAATTCTGAATCATGTCTGATAACGGAGAACTGGAAGACAAGCCTCCAGCACCACCTGTGCGGATGAGCAGTACCATTTTTAGCACTGGAGGCAAAGATCCTTTATCAGCCAATCACAGTTTGAAACCTTTGCCCTCTGTTCCAGAGGAAAAAAAGCCCAGGAATAAAATCATCTCCATCTTCTCCAGCACTGAGAAAGGTAACTAGCCATTGTGATTTCAAGAGTCTTGGTGTTGGTTCAATAACATGTTTACCATTGGTTTATTATATGTTACTCATTTTTGTATCTTCTACAATGACAATAATAAAATAAAGAGATCCAAGAAAACACTTGATACTGATAGACATGATGAAAAGGAATAATTTTGTTGGGCATGGTGGCACAGGCGTGTAGTCTCATATACTTGGGAGGTTAAAGCAGGAGGATTGCTTGAGCCTATGAGTTCAGGTCTTGAACTCTAGGCCTGGGCACAACTCTTTAGCTCAAGGCTAGCTCCCTACCACTTGAGCCACAGCACCATGTCCTGCTTTTTCTGCTTATGTGGTGCTGATGAATCAAACCCAGGGCCTCAGGCATGCAAGGCAAACACTCCACCACTGAGTCACCTTCTCAGCCCCAGCAAGACTTCTCTTAAGACAAAACAAAAACAAAAATACTAGTTTATTTTTTGTTATGCTTTCTTAGACAAGGTCTTACTATGTAGAACAGACTGGCCTTGAACCAAGCATTCTGCTGCCCTAGCCTCTTTAGTGCTAGAAGTAAAGGCATGTACCACTAGCCCGGCAAGACTAGTTTTTTGTTTTGTTTTGTTTTGCTTTGCTTTCTTTTTTATTTTCTTAATCCTCATCGTAATTTGTGTGTATATGTGCGTGTGGTACTGGTGTTTATACACAGGACCTTGTGTTTGCTAGGTAGATGCTCTACCACTTGAGCCATACCACCAGCCCAGCCCATCAATCATACCTTCCTTACATTGTTCCTTTCTTTCTTCCTTCCCTTCCATTCCCTTCCCTTCTCTTCCCTTCCGGGAAGTTCTTTTCTTCTCTTTCTCTTACCTCTCTTCCCTCTCTTCCCTCCTCCCTTCCCCTCTCCCATCTCCTTTTTCCCATCCCATCCCCCCTCCCTTCTAGTACCCTCTTCCCTCCCCCTTCCCCTCCTTGAGGCTTGAACTCAGGGGCCTTGTGCTTGCTCAGCAGTATGGGTGCCACACTCCCCTGGCTGACATCCCTGAAGCTATGGAATTAAGGAATTATGGAATTAAGATTTTTCTGATGTTTTTAGTGGTAATGCTAGTTATTTTTTGTTTTGTTTTGTTTTATCCTACAGTGCCTTCAGAAGGATCTGAGGCAGTCTCAGTATCAACATACCAATTTGTCTTTAGCAAAACATATCTAATCAACATACCAATGTGTCTTCAGCAAAACATGTCTAATACATGTCTATTTTCAGTCTCAACACTATCGACATTTAAAGGCCAAATAATTTGTAATTGTAGCAGTCTGTCCCTATGTATTATAAGGATGTTGAGCAGCATTTCTACCTTTACCTATAGATGTCAATAGCAACTCCCCCAGTTGTAACAACCAAAAGTATTCCCAGACATTTCTACCCCCTGGGGGTAAACAAAATTACTTCCAGTTAAGAACCACTGATGAGCTGGGTGCTGGTGTCTCACATGTAATTCTAGCTATTCAAGAGGCTTGAGATCTGAGGATCACAATTTGAAACCAGCCCAAACAGGACAGTCCCTGAAACTCTTATCCCCAATTAACCATCAGCAAGCCAGAAGTGTAGTGGTAGAGCATTAGCCTTGAGCACAAAAGCTCAAGGGCAGAACCCAAGCAGGCTGTGAGTTCAAGCTCTATCACACACACACACAAAAGCTCAAGGGCAGAACCCAAGCAGGCTGTGAGTTCAAGCTCCATCATCCGCCCTCCCTCCCCCCACGGAATCATTGACTTTGTTACACACACACACACACACACACACACAAAAGCTCAAGGGCAGAACCCAAGCAGGCTGTGAGTTCAAGCTCCATCTCACACACACACACACACACACACACACACACACACACACACACACACACACACACACACACGGAATCACTGACTTTGTTACACACACACACACAAAAGCTCAAGGGCAGAACCCAAGCAGGCTGTGAGTTCAAGCTCCATCACACACACACAGACACACACACACACACACACACACACACACACACACGGAATCACTGACTTTGTTACACAAAGTGTAGGATGGGGGCCATAAAGATGCTGGGCAGGTGGCTCAGTGGTAGAGTGCTTGCCTTGCATGCATGAGGCCCTGGGTTCAATTCCCCAGCACCACATAAAGAAAAAAAAAGCCAGAAGTGGCGCTGTGGCTCAAGTGGTAGAGCGCTAGCCTTGAGCTGAAGAGCTGAGGGACAGTGCTTAGGCCCAGAGTTCAGGCCCCACGACCGGAACCCCCCCCTCCCCCCCCAAAAAAAAAAAAATTCTAGTATAAATTGAAATTGCTATATTTGTTTGTCATATTTTAGGTAGGAATTTTTTTTTTTTCCAGGGCTGAGGACCAAACCCAGGGCCTTGCATGTGCCGGGTGGGCACCCTTCCGCTGGGCTAAACCCCCAGCCCCCTAGATAGGAACTTTTGAGTTTTAGAATTGAGATATAAGATATTATATATCTTATATATAAGATATTATATATCTTATTATATGTCTATAAGATATTATAGACACTGATGGATTTTAGAATAAGAGTAAGGGGTTTGTGTCAGCTGCCAATAGCTCATGCGTATATTCCTTGCTACTCTGGAGGCTGCAATCTGAGGATCATAGTTGGGAGTCAGCCGGAACAGATAAATCCTAGAATTTCTTGTCTTCAGTTAACCAGTAAAAAGCTGGAAACAGAGGTATGCCTCAAGTGGTAGGGTGCCAGCTATGAGCATAAAAGCCAACAGCAAGAGGCCTGGCAAGTCTTAGTACTGGCATACACAAAAGAATAAGAGAGTTGTTTAATCACATTAAGCATGATAATGTGACTTTTTTGTTCTTGTTCTGGTACTGGGTCTTAAACTCAGAGCCTGGGTCTTAAACTCAAGGCTGGCATTCTACCCCTTGGGCCATACTTCCACCCCCAACTTTTTGAAGTTTAGTTTCTTGGACTTTCTTGCTTAGGCTGGCCTTGAACCACAGTCCTCAGATCTCAGCTACTTAGGGTAGTTAGGATTAGAAGAACCTGGCAAAATGAAATTTTCTTATAAGTGGTAATTGATACAAGCAAAAATAAAGATAAATCTTCTATATGCAGAGGTAAACCCAAGTTGAAGAACAGTGTTTTGTACATAGTAATAATATTCATTTAGTTTGAAATTCTTAATATACATTCAATAAAAAGTTAACAATATACTTTTAAAAGAATTTAACTATATTTAGTTAATTTAATTAATTTAATTATGGATAATAGTTCCTAATACTTTGAGAATTTAGATTTACACATAGGAGATAATCTTTGTAAAGTTAAAACCCTATTCATTTATTGTCAGTTACTTATTTCTAATTTTGCTTTTATTAAGATTTCATAGGTTAAGCCAGGTGCCGATGGCTCACACCTGTAATCTAGCTACTCAGGAGGCTGATATCTGAGGATTGCAGTTCAAAGCCTGCCTGAGCAAGAAAGTCTGTGAGAGTCTTTATCTTCAATTAACTACCAGAAATCCAGAGGTGGCACTATGGCTTAAGTGGTAGTATGCTTGATTTAAGCTGAAGAGCTCAAGGACAGCGGGCTCAGGTCCAGAGTTCAAGCCCATGATTGACCCAAAAAAAAAAAATTTCATAGGTTACATAGTGAGACCCAATCTTAAAAACCAAAACAAAAGTTTCATGTAATGACTTGGAGTTGCTGCATGAAGGCACTAAGTTTGATCCCCAGCAATGAAAGTTGTAGGTGAAAGTATTTTTTTCCTCCCCCTTCCTTTTTTCTTGTCCTTTCTCTTTCCTTAGACTTTTTATACATGGGCTTGCTTCAAACTTCCATCCTCACAAGTCTGAGCTTTCAGAGACTATGAGTGTGAGTGTGTGTGTGTGTGTGTGTGTGTGTGTGTGTGTTGATACTGGGATTAGAACTCAGGCTTTGCACTCTTGCTTAGCTTTTCCACTCATGACTGGCATACCACCACTTGATATATCTCCAGTCTAGCTTCTTTGCTGATTAATTGAAGATAGACTTTTGAGGACTTTTCTGCCTGGGCCAGCTTCAAACTGAGATCCTCCTAGTCTCCTCTCAGACTTCCAGGTGTCTGAGTAGCTAGGATTATAAACATGAGCCACTGGTGTCTAGCTGAAAGTATGTTCTTAAGGTTTACTTTGAAGCTGTTCAAGTGTGTATTCAGCTTGATTGAGGAGTTTTTTGTTTTTGTTTTTGTTTTGTTGGTCGAGGGGCCTGAACTCTGGGCCTGGGCACTTTCCTCAGCTCTTCAGCTCAAAGCTAGCACTCTAATAACTTGAGTCACAGCACCACGTCCAGCTTTTTCTGCTTATGTGGTGCTGAGGAGTCAAGCCCAGGGCCTCATGCAAACAAGGCAAGCACTCTACCACTGAGCCACCTTCCCAGCCCTGGAGAGTTTTTTTGTTTTTGTTTTTAAAGTACTTAAATTGCATTAGGTAAAGGAAAAAGGAAAAGATGATGATTGACCAAATCTTCATCTTCCATAGTAGTCTGTATATTTCTGTATATTTAAAGTAGAAAATAAAAGAAGACAGTAAAAACATAGAATTTTAACTTGTGAAAGTTAAAATAATAGTACAAGTATGGAGGCTAGTACCAAAGGAAAGTACTCAAGGAATCAAGGTTTCCATACTTATTGCTCCTACTGGGGAGCTGAAACCTCTGTTATAACAATTCAGTAGTCAGAATTGAAGTAGAACCTTATGTGTGTACATTCATGCTCATGTGAAGACAGAACTCACCTAATGTTGTTATCCCATTGATCACATTGGTGTTTGCCTCTAAGCCTTCCCGTCCTTGCCCTGCATCCTTCTTTCATCAACATTTCTTCAATAGTATTCTACCTGGAATGCTGTTTATTTCTCTTTAGTTTTATCCTAATTGTTTTTCATCTTTGAACATTCCTTCTAGATTTTGTTCTGTTTTCCTGGAGTGCTGAGGGTCAAGCTGAGGGTCTTGCACATGCTAG